TTTTTTCTCTAAATATAAAATTGTCAGTGCCTTTTTTTATTATAGAGCTTTTCTTCTTTCTCCCTTTTTGTTTTTCCTAGGTACACTATAAAGAGGACATTAGACATTGAAGAGTAATCTTCATTTCTAGAGGTAAAAGATTAGGCTAAAATCTATTATCTGTCATCGAATTTTCACCATTTTCACATTTCTTGGTAACATTAAATTTTTTGCAAACTGTGTTTGATTCATTTTAAATAAATAATTATGTATTTTTTGTATTATTGATTTGTGATACCATATCATTGATCTATGTATGTAATCAATGATAAACAACTTTATGTTGATTGTTTAGTTATATTGATCTGTAATAGTATATCAGTGACGTACAACAGTATATCAATGATGTAGTATCGCGAATCAATAATACAAAAAATACATAATCATTTATCCAAAATGAATTAAACACAGTCCCAAAAAATTTTAGACTATTAGTTTATTACAGAGAGTCAAATATTTAAATTAATAAAATAAAAAATAATGAATTTGTAGCTCAATTTTTCCACTGACGTGCTCCGTTTTGTTGAGTATCATTGATGTATCTCACCTTATGTTTGTCTCTCATGATCGTGACTGTAGTTCGCTCACATTACTTTGTTGTCTCACATTGGTCTCTCTCGTATCTAATTTTGTCTTCTCTCTCGTGTTCACCTATAAAAAAGATCATTTTAAATTATATATCTTGCATTTATTGCGTTTAATTTTAAAGATTTCTTACGTTTCCAATCTTCATATATTTGCAAAAAAGTAAATATTAAAATGATAGTTTTATAAATTAAATATTAAAAAGATTATTTTTTAAATTAAAAAAGGCTATTTTTTCACTTGATTTTATGACACGGATTATGTGTGCCAAAGCCTCATGAATCCATTTCATTGAACTTGGACGTAATTTGATGATTTTCCTTTTTTTGCCCTTTCTTTTGTTTCCAATCAGTTAAGCAATTGTTTAATCACATCATAATTACTGATATGGACCTTTGTAATTATTGGAGACGCGACCCCACGTAAGATGTGATTATCTTAAGTCATCCCCAATTTACAAAAGTGCCCTTTTCCATGCATTGCAAAGTCTATATTTTATGGATTAGCGGGCAAATCAGGATCACAAGTTTTCAGTCATGTAGAATTGGTATTTTTAATTTTTAATTAGTGTAATATTTTTAAAAAAATTAAAAATATGCAAAATGGCTCTATAGCGACGAATTATCAATGTTGATAGGTAGTGAACAATTCCTCCCCGCGGGCTCTGGCCAAACTTTCAATTGGCACAATACTTTTGGAATCTCAATGTTCAAATGAGAAGAATGATCCAACAAATCATTATTAATGTTCAAAAATGGCTTGTATTCTAGAATTATGACTAAAGGCCTTGCTTAGATGCAAAAAAATTGTGTTTGATTCAAGATTATAATGGGTGATCGAATCTTTTTTTAATTTAAATTTGAATGTTGATACTTGATAATTCTAAGGCATTGCATTAATAGAAAGTTTAGAGCACTAATTGCTCGTTCAAATAAATTTCAGTGACAAAATTATCCTTTAACATTTAGAATTATTTGACTAATCATCGGTGTTAATTAAATATTTTCATAATTACATTATTTTTAAAACTTTTAAAAGAATACCACTGCAATTGATTTTTTTTCTGGGCCAACCATTGCAATTGAAAATTAAAAATATTAATTGTATGCGGTGAAAAATTTGAAGGGCAAGCTATTTAATCCATACTATGTCTCATGAAAATGACAGCAATGCTTTCACGTTTAAATAAAGAAAAGCATCACAATATAATATTGCACCTAGGAAATTATAATAACTCTATTTATTACGCACTAACTTTTTTTTTTTTAAAGTTCTCATCTAAGTAACCGACTGTTAGTGAATCGGCCAACTGTTGAAAAAACCGGTCAATAATTGATAAAATTGGATAAAAATCGGACTGATTCGCTTGAAAAAACCAGACAAAATTAAAAAATGTTAAAAAAAATCATAATTAAAATTAAAATACAAAAAATTTTGGGCCAAGAGCTGTAATTTTTGCAAACATAAGCTCACCCTCTCCTGTGACAATCAGCGCGTCCCACCCCTTTTTATAGATATGCGCGCCTCTTCCTCCTTTCCACACAGATGTTGTGGTACTCAATCAAGTATTGTGCACGTACAGTATGCTCCTTTTTTTTTTTTGGTTGATTTTTTTTTTCATATACTCATTGTGCTTAAAAATATTTTATATTTTTAAATAAATTTTACCTCTTAATAAAATAATTACTTATTTTTTAATTAAAATTATATTTTTATAAATAAATTTATTATTAATATAAGTACTTTTAAAAAAATAATAATTATATTTTAAAAGACTAAAAATACATTATATTTTTTAACATCCAACTCTTTAAAAAATATTTTATATTTTTAATCAAAAGAAATATTTTTTTTATTAATGTAAGCATATCTTTTTAACCTTTATACTTTTTATTATTCATGCATGTTTTTAAAAATTTGATCTTTTTAATTTAGCTTAAATGTGTTTTTTAAAAATGTTTAATAATTTATCATTCTATCAACCTCTTTCTTAATATTTAAAAGAAAAGCTTCACTTATAATTAATATTTATCATGTATTTATCAATAGTAAATTATATTGCCAAGCATCTATAATATGTTTTTAAAAAAATATATTTAAATATATTTTTTATTTTATTATAATATATTAATTTAATGTCAATCAATTCAACCTCAATTAGACTACAATTCATGTAAACCAGTGTCTCATTTGATTCAGTGACAGGAACCTTATGATATAGAGAGATTAATGAGTTAAAAGTTAAAACATTTGAATTTTAATTTTAATTCAAGAAAAAAGAGTTTAAATTTTAATAAAGAAATTAAATTGGGTGACCCATTGCTAACAAAATCTGCAGCGATTGTATTATTGGTTATTTAATTATTTTCAGATATGCAAATGGATTTATCCGCTTCAAATAAGGGAAAGGCTAATTAAAAATCATAAAATATATAAAATTAGAATTAGAATTTAAAAAATTTGTTAAAGAATTAATAGATTAATGTTGACAGTTGACAGTTCTATGTTCCAAACCATTGGTGACCTCACACTCAGATGTCAGCCACTGCATACCGTGTTCCCCGAGGCACGAGCCACATTCATTTCACGTGACAAAATAAAAAGTTAGAAAAACGTAGCTTTAATTTCATACACTTTGTTTGCGTTTATTGTACATCTTTATTTATATATATATATATATATAATTTCTTACATTCATACATTTTTTTAATATTCTATATCTTTTCACTGCTCATGAATACCTGAAATATAAAAAAATATAAAAATTTTAAATACTAAAAAAATATATATATTTATAATAAAGTTTGAATAAAATTTAGAGATTTAAAATTATATTTTTTTAAAAAAATTCGGTTTAATCAGAAAAGCAAATTGAAATTTAAATATGTAAAATTCATTTTGTGAACAAGAAGTTACTTTTTTTTTAGGAAAAAGCAAAGAAAGAAAGACAAGAACGCTGCCTGCCACTACCAGTCTGCCACTAGGGTATTATTTAAAGGGAGAAAAAGAAATCAGAGGGACAGGGGGAAAAAAATAACATTTTATTCTCTTTCATCTACTACATGTAAGTCCAGGTCAACAAAAATAATCTACAATTTGTAACATGTTCTAAAAATATTATGAAGTTTAAAATATATTTTTTTATTTAAAAATATAAAATATTTTTAATTAAATTTTATCATTTAATAAAGTAATTATTTATTTTTTTAATTAATTTTATTTTTTCATACTTACTCCTATTAAACACCTTATAATAATTATAAAATTATTAATAATAAAAATATTTAAAAAAAGATAATAATTACACCTTAAAAGATTAAAAATACTTTATATTTTTTAATATCTAACTATTTTAAAAAATATCTTACATTTTTTAATGGAGAGAGTAATATATTAAATAATTTTTATAATTTATTAAACCTTTATTTCATTCATTTATTTTTAAAAAACATACCATCATTTAAAAATATAAAATATTTTTAACTAAATTTTACCTCTCAATAAAATAATTACTTATATTCAAACTAACTATATTTTTTATATTTATCTTTATTTAATTAGATATTTTCATTTGAAATAAATATAAAGTACTTTAAAAAAATAATAATTATATTTTAAAAAATTAAAAATATTTTACATTTTTTAATATTCAACCCTTCAAAAACTGTTTTATATTTTATAAGAGTGGGTAATAATATATTAAAATTATTTATTGAATATTAAAAATTCAAACCATGGGAGGTAGTAAGGGAAAAAAAAATAAATTTACACGGCCGTTGAAAAAAAATAAAATAATAAATTTAAAATACTGGAACTAAATTCAATTCAAATAATTTGTAAATTATTCAGTCCCACCGTAAAATGATGCAAATTCCAAATAAACATTATTTTATCCTTTATTGTTACGAGACCCCTCTAACAACTTTACTAAAATTAAAAAAACAAAAGGTGATTAAGTATTAATTTTATCCGAAAAATAAAATTTAAATTTTATCCATATTTAAATAAAAAAATTAAATTTTTTCTTATAATTAATGATAAGAAAATAGACTTAATATTCCACCAAGGATCATATATTAATCTTTTCAAATAAATGTCTTCTAAAAAATAATAATTATATTAATAATTCAGAACAAATTTATAATAAAATCAATCACGTCCCAATAAATATAAAAGTAAACATATACAAGTTTGGAAATTCGGATCTCACATATTAATAATCATATTAATGTAAACAAAGTTACTAAAAAGGGGCCCTATGATCAAATCGAAACATTATTTTGGATACCAAATTTAAAAATGTAAAATAGTTTTATTTCTATTCCAAGTTTTATAAATCTGGGAATTTGTTGGCATGTGATGGGAGAGAATTCATTTGTTAGGGGTTACACTTTGGATATTGTAAACTGAAACCAGCGAATATTCTCTCTCCTTCTCTCTCTCTTTCTCTCATAGTATTTCTCTCATCTGAAGATAATTTAAGGGAGAGAAGAGAAGAGAGGTGACTAAAAGGGAGGAGGAGGAAGACACGAAGAACAAGGAAGAGTAGCTCCTCCAGGAAGAAGCGTACAGGACTATATTTCCTTTCCTTCTTCTCCTTTGCCTTTTTCCTTCTCTTTCGGATATTGCAGATTACAGGTGGATGGAAGAGAAGGAAGGCAAACGCAATGTCATGGCGGAAGCTCTGGAATCGAAGGTTGCCTTGAGATTTTGGGAAGCGGCTGCGGCTTCAACCGTGGTATTAGGTTTTGTGTTAGGTCTTCTCTCTGTTTACCTTACCATGCCTGATTCCGATTACAGCTTCCTCAAGCTCCCTCGGAACCTCGAAGATCTTCAAGTTCTAAGGTAATGATATTGTTTCTTTCCCTTCTGTTTTATGGTTGGAACACTCCAACTTTTACCCCCGTGTGTTACTCTGTGGGTAATATGTTTCGATGTTTTGGATCAGACTTATAACTTTTTGGGGAGTATTTTTACTGATTTCCTTCTGCGTCCAAATTTTGCTCCTTCTGTTGAATCTGACGGGGAAAAAAAAAGATCATTTCTTTTGGGTGATAATGATCGCTCGGAATCATTTGGGTAAACTTTGAGATTTGCATCTTGATTTGATCTTCCATGGTTCTATTGGCTTTAGCGTCGAAGTATCGATTTTAAAAACAATGTGGTCGCACAAAACTAGCAGTTAACTGTCTTAAAAGAGTCACTTCAACCTTGTTATTTTAAACTAGCATTCTTTTGGTTCTAGCCCGACCCCTGTTCCCTTCTTTTTGTTAGCGCTAGGAGAAAAGTAGATCTAAAAATGCTTTGAGATGGATCCAAAAGCTTGAAAGAAGAATTACTTATTTGAAAATTATTAAAAAGGACAATGACATGTGAGATGTCATCATATAAAGGAGATTAGGATATAGAGTTTATTCGCGACAGTATGGTTTGCTAACAGTTGATTTGAGAGCATACTTATTGGTGAAATACTCGAGAACACATGCGGGATATATCGATGTTGCTAGTTGCTACCTGTATCTTTGATTTAGACCTATCAGGGTGTTAAATAACACTCTTGCAAGTCGTGCATTTATCATCAAGACGTATGCTTCGAAGTGAAGATTCAATGGCAGTTTTACTCTTCATAGCATCTTCATAGGGGGGCCATATTTTATGCTGTCATGATTCATATCATCCAGCTGATTGATAATGAAACTGAAAATAGACCATTTGATGCAATGACACTAAAGCTCTGTATAGCATGGAGTCGAGCTAAATTTTCCCTGCATAGAGCCATGTTGTGTTGGGGAGTCGCTGGAAGGAGGGTGTCTTCATGTCTTTCCATATGACTATAATGTCCATCACTTGTAATCTTAGATCTGGAGATAGATTTCCTTTTTAGTTGATGTGATGCATATTCGTTTTCATCTATGGTATGCATAGTGGGTTCGGAATGTGGTTAGGGAAGTTGATGAAATTATTTGCAATGGTTTATCTAATCTGTCTTTTCTTTTTGGTTTTTGCAGAGGCCACCTCGAGAACTACACGAGTGACTACACTGCACAGGTCTTGGTGGGTTATTGTGTGGTATATATTTTCATGCAGACATTTATGATTCCAGGGACTGTGTTCATGTCGTTGCTTGCTGGAGCTCTCTTCGGTGTATTCGGAGGTGTTGCTTTGGTTGTGTTCAATGCCACGGCTGGAGCTTCATCTTGCTATTTCCTATCAAAACTGATTGGACGACCCCTTGTCTTCTCTCTTTGGCCAGACAAGCTAAAGTTCTTTCAGGACCAGGTTTATTTCAACTTCTCCCGACATTTTGGATAAAATCCGGTCTATATAATTGGAATTAAGTTATGCTTTTTACGCCCAGGTTGCTAAAAGAAGGAAGAGTTTGTTGAACTACATGCTTTTTCTGAGATTGACTCCAACCTTACCTAACACATTTATCAATGTTGCCTCGCCAATAGTGGATGTGCCTTATCACACTTTCTTTCTGGCCACTGTTATTGGACTCATACCTGCTGCTTATGTCACTGTCAAGGTATCTAGCTATTTAACTTGAACAAATTGTGAATAGTTGACAGAATATTAAAAATGCAAGCAAAATTTTATGTATTCTGAAAGACAACAATAAACTGATGATCTCAATTGAAAACTGAAGTTAAAGTGCTTCTTGGACTGGAAGGTGTGTCATACATTTCACATGCTGGCTAATCCATGTCCTCTTCCCCGTTTTTCCCTTCAAGTCTTTTGTCTGGCCTTTTAAAGCTCTTCAATTTTCTCATGTGCAGGCCGGGCTAGCACTTGGAGAGTTGCAATCGTTGAAAGATCTTTATGATTTCAACTCAATTGCTACATTATTTCTCATAGGAGTTGTTTCAGTTACACCTACACTTATTACCAAGCCGTAGCGATTCTGGGGCGGAAGCTTCTTGTGCGTGAGGCATTTGTTTTCCTGGCAGCTAATGGTTCTCCGATTCAAGACTGTACAGATCTTCTCGAAACAATCACACTGTCACTTGCTGCTTATGGATTATATTGCCAAATGCTGCAGTAATTCAAGAATATGTTGGAGGAGAAAATGTTAAGCATTGAGGTTTAATTGTTGTAATGTTTGCTATTGGGGTTCGGTAATTCCAAATTCACATTCGATTGTGTAGCCACGTAAATTGTTGATGAGGTGGAATTTGTAAGGCATTCGCTTATTGACTAATGACTAGTGTATATATCATGGTTGCATTGTGCCGTTGTTTAGTCAGTGTGTTTTCATATCATCAAGTGAGTTCATGCATCGGTTATACGGTAAATATTCCATATTTTGGGTTCAAAAGTGTTTCTTTTTAAATATCTCCAACAAAGCATTGGAACTTTCATGGTTCCTTGGAATGTGCTGGCGTGCTGCTCCTGTCACTCGGATCCTGTACGAAGACAGAAAAGAGCCACGAAACTTGTGTTCCACCCGACAATAAATAAGTAGATAAGAGAGGACGGTAGTCAGTAGTTCAATTCCACCCCTTCCCTAATATGTTTCAGTATTAAATTTTTGATAAAGATTTCAACTTTTCCATTTGAATTGTTCCTGTAGTATTTTCAGACCGGAAATCAATTTTTGTAGATTTTTTAGAAATATGTTGCATGACTGCATCATTGCGTTTTTGGGTGAGACTGCATATTTTAATCAACTCCCCCACCCCTCAATAGAATCAGGTGGGGGAAAATACTTTTATGATTTAATTAAATATTTTTTCCATTATCAATATAAATATAGATCATATTGGGATCTGATTTACCTGAATTTTTTGTTTATAAAAAAAAAATGAGACCCATTTTGAAAGAAAAAAGACGTGTTTTTTCCCCTCGACTGATTCTGGTTGTTTTTGGCAAAATCAAGACTGGTAAATATAGTGAAACTTGAATCCTAGTATTCGGCCCCAGACTAGGGTGATCAGCTTCATTTATTTTAGGACCTTCGATTTGATACTTTAAAGTAAGTTAATTTGATTCTCTCAACCATTTAAACCCAACACCCTTAAGTGATCATCTTCATGTGATAGGGAAATTGTGTACAAATAACAAGAAATAAGAATTCGTTCATGATCCTCCAATAATACAGTATTCATTATTGTTGTCGTTGTTGTTCCATGTAATTTCATTTATTTTTTAAAATAAAACAAACATGATTTAAGTTAATTTATGTATTAAAAAATAAGCCAGGCATCAACTGCTCTCACCAATCCCTTGTATAAAATGCCTTCCAAAAATAAAAGCTGATCCAATTATAAGGCGCTTAGAATATCAAATGTTCATTTTTATCCCTATAATTTTAACACCTTTCCCGTAATTTAAGCAAGGCATAGCATGAGATTCACTCTAATAAGAATGAAATTGAAATATTGAAATGCTTTTGAACAAATAAAACAATCTAACCTTTCTGCGTAAAAAATCTCTAAAACGCTTTATATAACGGACCAGAAGGAGTGCATCAGAAATCTCAACAAAATGGAAATCAAGCTGATAAATTCTTTTCTCAAGGTGTATACATCCCTTGCCAGACATTAAAGCTAGTGAACTCTAAAGCCAGAATTGATCCTCGAAACTATCACAACATTTCTAGCTATTCTTAATTTTCTTGTTTCGTACAAAACTATCTGGAGTTTTACTATCAAGCTTGCGTTTTCTTCCTCCTTGTTTTGCTGAACCGTCTTCCTTGAGCAACTTTGCGTTTAGTTTAGCCTTTCTGGCAGCAACTGCTGGTCTCTTCGTCTTGCGCTCTGTCGTTTGCTTACCTCCGTGAGTTCTTGATTTCTTATGGACCACAGTTTTGTTTGCCCGCAAACCTTGGTAAGACATATTGAATTTTTTATTAGTGCTGTTATTACTGCTTGAGGGAGACCTTAAAGCCATGGCTGCCTTCTTGGCAGGAGTACCAGAAACTTGTGGCGGTGAAAAGTTTGGCCTTTTGGATGGGGTGGCATCTGCTCTCGCATGACTAAGTCTCAGATCTCGGTCTCGAAGCTTCAAGTTCCGTTTCCTGAGAACAAAATTAGCAGCTTCCTGCATTTACAAGATAAAATTGTATTCAGTTAAAAATAAGGTTTCTGGTAACAAGACATGGAAACAGAGTCCTAATATTATTCTTGCTTTAGCAAGAACTGATGGCATTTCCTGCAATAATCCCCCCCCAACATTTCTCAAAATATCTAAGCCTCTGATCCCGTCAAGGACAAACTTTAATCAAAATCATTAAAATCATGGAGCAAGTAATTGCACAAATAACCAAAATCCACACAATGTCACCGTCAATAGTATAACCTAGTTGACTGGTTCATCTTTATATTCCCTAATCATCTTAATTTACTCCTTTTTTGCCATAAATTATCCCACGTCAGTTAATGCCTGGCAAACTTTAACTTCTGCATGATCATTGACCTTACAGATATTCTCAATCTTCTTACATTGCCTTATAATTGAGCTATCTACTTTTTAAGTTTCCAATTCTCAGGAGTCTGGACACTCTTCCAATGCATAAATATTTTAAAGAAAAATCAATTTTCATTAAAAAAAAATATTTCACCCTTCATGGGCAAGTAGTCATGTCTAACAATGTTCTTACAATATAAAAATATTTGTATCATAACTAGCTATTATTGATATTTTGTCAAGAACACATCATACTCTCCTGGTAAATCAGGGAAATCTGTGGCCTATGCAATTACATATATCTAACCACCATAACCAGCGAGATGATACATATGTTAGAAGCAGCCAATGCACACCAAAGTAAACAAAAAAAATGATCCAGATAAGAATATCCCTTTTAATTCCTATCCTAGGTTCCTGCTTCTAACTGAAATATCCTCGTCTAAGAGATACATTACAAATAACCCTAAATATAATCAGGGCTTTATCAATCACACCTAGCTCCGTGAATAGCAGATAATAATAGAAATCGTGACATCCTTGGAGCTAAAAGTGTTGCAAAGAAAACTAAATCAAAATGTATCAATGATATCAAGACAAAAAATAAAAACATACCCTTGTTTTAAAAAGCACATAGGCGATACCCTTCCCAAGATTCAAATGAGGATCTCTAATGACTCTAACAGCTTCTATGCTGGATTCCAGCTTGGATACACCAGAAAATAGTTTATAAAGTTCTTCATCCTGCAGAGAAGAATAACATGTTATCTCCAATAGTAAATATAGGCAACAATAATGCAAGTCTACAACCTCAAATAAATAACCATTGAACGAAACACACCTTTACATCAAATGGGAGGTTGCCAACAAAAACAGTTCTCTTGTTATCATACAGTGAAGCATGCTCTCCTTTATGTTTCTTGCGAGGTGGGCATGCTCTATCAACACGAATGTGATTTCCTCCAACCTTCATGCATCATTAAAAACCAAAGCAAACATTTATAAACAAACGTTCAACCCAAGATAATAAGCAAACCCAACGTTTTGATCAGCGAACTTTGATGAACAGAAACCATACCACAGTCATGTTATGGGACAAAGAATCCTGTGCCGACTGCTCTGTCTTAAAAACAACGTATGCATGAACACTGCAAAATACAATATTTGTCAGTTGGAAATGTCTAATGATGCCACACACTGAGAATAAAAAACCTGCAAACAACTTCCACTAACTTTCTACAAGAGACATTAAGTCATTAACCCGACTGGTGCAAGTGTTATTTCAGTTAAACTATGAGTTTCATCAAGTGACATTCAGGAAACTAGACATGACGTATTCTCCTGTATGGATCAAGCCAATTCTAAATTAGATACAAAGAAGTAAATTCTTGGGTAACACGAAATTGTTATTACTAGATTCGCACAAAACTAGAGATCATTACAGAAGAACACTATATGAATAGAGTAGGGGAGAACAGCTTCAATGTTATCACAAATCTAACACTGAATACATTGTCTCCCAGAACTTGAACATATTGAGCGACAAAATTTCCCATATTCCCACATGATTTTCCATCATTAAGATGAGAAGATTTAATTGCCTTGATTTAAATTTTAAAAAAACATGCCCAGAATGAGATGCCCCTGTAATGACATCAGACTGTTTTTAAGTCACCTAAAGCAAAGTTAATAATTTTTTCTGAAAACACAAATGAAACTTTCTTAACCCTCCGTAGCTAAGCATCAGATTTGGAGAGGATGATTTTTCCAAACCTAAATAAGCAGGCTTTAACTTGGCAGTGAATACAATAAAATAAATGCTAAAAATCACTCATGAAAACAACCGCATTTTCTACAAACATAGAGCTAACAACTTTCTTGAGATGATGTCAGTTGTTCCAAAAGCATTACCTATCACCAGCATCATTGATTTTCTTCGAAAGGATGGCACCCTTTCTAGGTTTTTTGGTCTGATAAATAAACAAATATTAAGTTAGGATCTAAACAAAACAAAAAAAAAGTTTTTACACGGTAGCAAAGAGCATAAATGAAATCACTCATTTCAGAAAAGGAATACCTACATCTAATATTGGAACAGAACGAATCCTCACAGATTCAACCTCCCCAAATTTCTTAAACTCTTTCAGTAAAGTCTTCTTTTTCACCTTGAGGGGTAAATTCCCAATAAATATGGTTCTTAAGAGCTTATTCTCATCATCAAAACCTTCATTTGTTACCAACATGTCGGCAGGATTATCCAACGTCTTCCTTTTGGTCCCAACAACATTCTTCCCCAAGCCTTCCCCGTCATCTCGCTCTTCCTCCACTGCCCCATACCTCTTCAATTCCCACTCTTTCTCAACGTCATCTCTTTTTCTCTTGCTCTTCCTTCTCTTCTCCTTGTCGTCATTCACAAGCTCACCTTTCTCCTCACCTTCCGTAGACACAATATTTTCTTTCTTCGACAATGTAGTCGCATGCGCACCCGAAACAGACACTTTGGTCTCGTCGTCCTGCGCTATTCTATTCGGTTGAGGATTCGAACGAGGGTTGAAGCCGGAACCAGATTTCGACTTCTTCTCCGAAGCCTCAAGGGCACTATCTGAATCAACAGACGAGTTCTTCTCTCTGCTTCTCTTCCTCTTCTTCAGCTCTTCAGAATCGGGAGCGTTTTCAGTACTATTGGTTAGGCCAAAACTTGAACTAGTTTCAAGAGGCTTCTTCCGAAAGGGGTTGCTATCTGAGAATAGAGAAGAGCTGGCGCCCTGTTCCGAGACATTACCAAATAGCTTGCCAAATAGGTCGGAAGTTTCGTTGGTTTCAGGGGTTTCCTCGGGCTCCTTTGGTTTCTTCTTCCCCATTTTTGATTGAAATGAAAGGATCAGAAACCTACGATGCCGTGTTCCCACAAAACCCTAGGATCAGTTGAGGATGACGAGCGCGGCGAAGGCAACTTGAATGGGAAATCCGGGGTCGGGATTCCGCTCAAATTTGGCACCCACGCTTTTGAGAAAATAGGATAATAATTTAAATTAAAAAATTAAAAAATCTAAATTTTATCAATGTGCTCCTTTTCTCTTTCTCTCTCTCTCTTTTTTTCTACCAAGAAATTTTACTGAAATACAAATACAATACCAAGAACGCTTGGATGAGGATCAGCTGGTTAAGCTGCTAATCAGACTAATTTGGTTACAGAATTGAGAGATACCGGCGTGAAATAAAAAAAAAGTACTGAAATAATAAAATAATAAAAATAAAATTACGCTAAACCTCGAGAAAATTATAGATAGACTATGGTCGTGCATTATGAATGTTGTAATTTCCCATCAATTTTATAATTAGGTGTTGAACACAAGGGAATTCTGAATTCATATACTCCTTCCGTCTTAAATTATAGGGTATTTTTAAAAAGATTTTTTTATCTCAAAATATAAAACATTTTGAGTACATGAAAGTTTTATTTTGAGTAGATTAAAGTTTTATTAAATACATCAATTTTAAATATGATCTTTTTCTCTTATAATTAATTTCCATCACTTCTCTTTTCAATATATTAAATGATAGATATTTTTAAAAAGTTTATATTTTATTTTAAAAAGATAAGATTATTAAGTATATTTAATGAAAATTTATTGATATGTAAGATTTTATTTAAAAATATTTTATAATTTGATATGAAGAGAGTACTCAACCTTCAAGGCCTTTCTTATGGTCTACCTCTCCACTTTTACTCCTTGAAATTTCCATATTCAAAGCAAATTAGAAAATAAAAATAATTGCACAGAGTTTACAATTGCCTTGTTCTATACTTCTATTTCTTCAGCCTACTTTTTAAGGCCTACTTTATACCTCTAGAATCAACTATGTGTCCAAAATTATAGTTTTGAAAAGAAAAAATTATCCAAGCACTTCTAATTTTTTTTAACTCCATTTAATTCATGAAATTTTCATTTTACAAAAGCTTACCAACACTTCCAATTTTTTAAAACTCCTTCTGATGCTTGAAACTTCATTTTGTAGAAGCAAATGTTTTTCCAGTTGGTAAATCAATTTTTAAAATCTTGTCCAAATATTAGTCAGTGACGATTTAAAATTGCCAAAAAAAAATTCTAAGCCCGGCCCTAAAATTTTTTCGGGTCAATTGGGCTAGCCCGTCAGGCTTGGCCCGAATTACCGCTCTACTCTTACTCCCCTTAAAATTTCCATATTCAAAGCAAATTAGAAAATAAAGTAATTGCACAGAGTTTACAATTGCCTTGTTCTATTCTCTTTCAGCCTACTTTTAGGGCCTACTTGGGATACCCTCTAGAATCAACTATGTGTCCAAAATTATAGTTTTGAAAAGAAAAAATTATCCAAGCACTTCTAATTTTGTTAAACTCCATTTAATTCATGAAATTTCATTTTACAAAAGCTTACCAACACTTCCAATTTTTTAAACTCCTTCTGGTGCTTGAAACTCCATTTTGTAGAAGCTAAATGTTTTTCCAGTTGGTAATCAATTTTTAAAAATCTTGTCCAATATTAGTCAGTGACGATTTAAAATTGCCAAAAAAAAAAATCTTATCCAAACATTATGACATTCTTGTTAACCAGTTTTTTTCATATATTTTTTTTTTTTCAATTGAAATCTAATTGAAATCTAAACATATCCTTAGCAAGGGGAGCTAATGGAAAATGGAGAGAGAAAACATGCGCAAATGATAATAAAAAGACATCACGTTTTTACTTAAAATGTTAAAAACTTAAGCTTATAAGTACTCCTCTTCTTATATATTAATTATTAAATTTAACTTTATTTATGTAAAACTTTTCCAGTCAATTTCACTCACACTTGGATAATCTAAAACCTACAAAATATGACATATAGTCAGGAGATGCACTAAAAGTTGCATAAGATTTTTCACAATGTGAGAAGATGTATCAAAGGCTACTTCAAGGATTCGGGATCTGCATAACAAGAAACCACTTGTTGCTCTCTTAGTTTGGTTCCCGAAAATTCAAGTCCTTGGACCTTGACAATTGCGGCGTCGCCAATTTATATCAGATAAATTTTAGTTTTGTCTCTATTTATAACTTAGTATATAAAAATTTGCACGGACTAACATATCTAGTCCTGTTGTTGGTCAAAAAGAAAAAGAAAAAACATATCTCGTCCTGTTGCCTTACTTTATCTGGTCAATTTGTTAATATACATATCAAAGAAGCAACCAAATCTTGTCAAGTCTATTGGTTCTTTTAACTTGGAAGTGCCATGGATGACTTGAGTTCTTGATTGGAACTTCTTTTGTTTATACTCGCAGTGGAACTTCTCGTTTTTGCTTATATCTGCATTGGAACTTCTGATAATGAAAAGAAACGTCTCAACAAGCATTGCCACCCCCCAAGCCTAGAACTCCTCCAGCAGCATTCTGTGATGATAAGAGGGTAAAGAAAATGAAATTGAAGATGAGACCTCAAAAGTCAAAACAGAAGTGCTTGTAAATAATACTAATAGTTTTTATCGGTAAAGTAATAGTAGTGTTAAGACAGCACCATGGCAGGATTGTGGTTAAACAAAGCTCTGAATGCTGCATATCCAAGCAGATAGCAAGTGAACATAGTAAGCACAACATGCAATCCTGAAAAGGGATCAATAGGAACAAGAATCAAACAGAGTTAGAGACATGCAGACATGGGATGATATGAGCAGGCGAGTCACAAGGGCTGAGACCAGTCCAAAAAGTTATGAGTAATCTGTATTTGAAAACCTAAGTGCTATTGTTGAGAACATCAATAGAATTACTGGCATTAATTGTACCAGCATACTCTTAATCACCAAGAAAAGACTGAAAGCAAAATAAAATTAAATAATTCATGAGCCCTTTACAACCTTTAGTGTATTTAAACCAAACATTCTAAAAACAACCCCAAAAAAAAATCGGTGTTCACAGTGGAGAAGGTACAGCTATTAAAAGTGAATTTAATAAAGCATCTCGAAGAGTTATTAATTTATATGAAGTCCCATATTGGTCCAAAACTCTATTCATCAATATTTTTTCAGCTATCGAAACATTCTCCATTATTAATTATAACAATTCCATCCATCTATTATCCCACAAAGCTGAAAATAAACCACAGTATCAGCAAATACCCTAGCACAAGACTAAAGCAAGATATTTGTAAACAGAAAAATAAGATAGAAAGTTGCCATTATCAATATCATAATAAAATATATCTTCATAAGATTGAAAAAATTTATGAGCTAGAACTGAGGGCCATGTAAGGTGGTGCCAAGTATCAGAGCATGACAATGAAGGATGATAGTCACAGAATGGACCTCTATCACCCCCCCTTTTATGTGTATTTTAATTTAATGTAGAAGTTCCCTTCTGACTCTTTTGTGTTCAACTGACTATAAAACAAACAAAATCCTTTCAAGGGTGCATATAAATACCCACTGAAATGGAACGGTAAAACGGTTCACTATAGTTCCAATCATATTGTTGAAGATGTAACATCATTTGACTAATCCACAACAGATATATCATTTGATTAATCCGCAACACTCCTGGACAACACACCGTATAGTATAATAGTCTGTTCACACACCAGAGTGATGTACCCAAAGTCAAAGTTGAGATTGCAAAGAAACATGCTACTACTCCCCACAGAAAAAGGTTGTTTAAGCTCAATTTCAAAAACAAGCTTGAACTGGCAGTTTGAATTGGTATGACTTACTTTATAGTAGAAGTGACAAGGTAACTAGAAGCACTTATTTATCAAATTCTAACCAAAAATTAATTACCGACCAAAAAGGGGGCTACCAGCCACATAACTTGAAATCTTATATCACATCCCATACGGAAGATATAAAAGTGAACAAGAAGACTTTACCAAACCCAAATTGATCCTTGTAAGAAGAGAATGGCTCATTGTTATCCTTCTTTGGTGCAATATCCTTCACAAGTTCTTGATATGCTTTCTTCTCCGCCAAATCTTCAAGTCTTTTCAATCTTGCCTTCAATTCTTCACTCTTCACACCAAAAGCAGCTCACAGAAATGAGTTACAGAACCTTTCAACAAACTCAGTTTGGAACATATACAAACAAGTCTCACAGTACAAAAATTTCTGATCATGAATCAAGCAATAAAAATTCAACAGATGTTTCCTGCATAAGAGTTTGTACATTCTTCAAAATTTAGGGTACATCAAACTAAAATTTACCTTCTCTCTGGGCTTGGGACTGGAGAACAGAAACTGGGTTCCAGAGAAGAGCTGGATCAAATCAGGTCTTCTCAACGGATCAGAAGCCATCCAGATGGTACGAAGTCGCATGTATGGTACATTAGGTTGCCTCAACAGATTCGAAGCAGTTTGCTGGAGTTCCACAGAAAGATGTGGGTCCTTGGAAGCAATGGAGAGAAACGAGAGAATGGATTCAGTGGTGGAAATCACGAGCCCAGGAGGGCTTGGCATCTCGGTAGTCATGAAAGCAGTATTAGCTGAGTATTATGTATGTAACAGCTGGCTTGCCTGCAATTAGACTCAGTTTTTTAATGCACAGTAAAACATAGTAAGCAGTGAGCTCACAAGACCCTTTTTTTTTTTAATCTCACTAATTATTTTCCTTTTAGATTAATAAATCCAATACCATAGCTTCTTAAGTTCCTTAGAAGTCTGACAGTATAACTCCCTCAGTCCTTATTTACTAAACAAAATTCAAAGAATTTTCTCAACCAGAATCAAAGCAGTGAGCACCTGTATTAAAAATAGCTGAAGACATAATCAACCATGGTGTTGGACATCTTAATAAGCATGTTACACAGGACCAACTAGCAATATCCGAATAGATTCCTTTAGGATGACATTTTACTCAGAAAATCTAGCAAACTCCACAAGGATTCCTTGAGGTTGCAGATAGGTTGTCTGTGGATAAGAATTTCGGTTTAATTAGACATACCTGCATTTCCAACAAATAAAAGTAGATCACCAGCTAATGATGAAG